CAGAGAGAGAGAGAGAGACACAGCAAGAGAGAGAAAAAGTGAAGAATCAAGCCACCAGGTCCGGGATTCAAACCATGGTTGGCCATGTGGGAGAGTCTAGTACCTTAACCACCACGCCACCTGCTGGCCCTTTGATTAATTAATTTAATTAATGGGTGAAGACTGTAAATGGGGGGAAAAAGTATTTTGTTTCATTTCAGCATGTACTTTCTGAACACTTTGGTTTTATTCTCCAAATCTCAATAGTAATGGCTTGAAATGGAACTCTGATCAGGAGAGACTGAGAAGCTTGTCTAGAAGTTGCATTTGCAGAAAAAAATACACTGTTTAACTTGGATTTTATGTTTATTTATTTAGGGTGTTCTGAAAGCTAATGGAGATTGTGGGGAGGTGGCTGAGGGCCCACAACTACCACTGCTTGCTACTCCCAAGTTGCTATGTTGAGCACTGCTCATGTTAGCATAATTCTTTTTTGTTTTCTTTTTTTGGAGAGGTTTTTGCCATAGCCCCTGACCAGAAAGAAAGAAAGAGACATAGAGACAGAAAGTGAGAAATCAACCCCCAGGAGGGATGGCCACACTGCAATCCCTTCTCCTCCATTCTCCTCTCGGGATCTTGGGCACATATGCACACAAGCCCAGTGTGAGTTTAAACCACCGGGTCCGGGACTCAAACCACGGTCGACTCCATGGGAGTCCAGCGACATAGCCATTACGTCAACTGCTGGTCCCATGTTAATATAATTTTTAAAACACAATTTCTCTGTTTAAGAAATTGACATCGAGTGTATACAGCGGTAATAGAGAGGAAAGTGCATGTACATAAGCATAAAAACTAAGGGAGTCAAAGTGGGGGGGTGCTTTTGTTTGAAATGATCAGAATCTGTGCCCCACAACATGGCCCTGGAGGTAGACCTTGAAGTACAGAAGGTAAACAAGCTTGGCAGCTTACACTCTGTGCTTATTTATGGTGTTCTCGCCACCCCAAACCTGAAGTGAACGCAAGCTGACAGTTCAAACCAAAGAAGCAGCAGCTTAATCATCTAGCAATTAATCAGAAGCTTGTGGGTTAATTATTTGAATGTTCACCTTCATGAATTTTATATGTAGAGTATGTAAGCTCTGTTTTATGTGTCTACAAAGGCAATTCTGTAACTCCTACCACAGAACTAGCATCTCCGATGCTAATTTGATTCTGATCTATATCTGATCATCTTTTCAAATGTCTTTTGTAAGTTAAGTCATGAGAGTTTGAAAGTGCCTGGTTTCATAACACAGCTTCCTACCCAATATCATACAAGAGTAAACTAAACTGAGTCCAATTTTGTACCTAGGCCCAGAGGTGATTCCAGCAGGAACTGCGAAGAGCCACGGCGATGCGCAAGTGAATAATGAGTAGTACCTACTGCGGCAACTCTTCGGCTAAAATGAGTGTCAATGAAGTAACAGCTTTCTCGTTGACTCTGGAGCAAAAAACTGGCTTTGCTTTTGTTGGGATTTTGTGTATCTTCTTGGGACTTCTTATTATCAGATGCTTTAAAATCCTGCTAGACCCGTATAGCAGCATGCCTTCCTCCACATGGGAAGATGAAGTTGAAGAGTTTGATAAAGGGACATTTGAGTACGCACTCGCATGAGAGTTTCCAGCTTTGTGATTTTTATGGTTATGCCACTGGGACACGTGGTGGGCACATTTGTAATTACCTCGAGTGTGTGGAAGAAGGCTCATTTCATTCACTGAATTCAATAAACATCTGTGATTAACTAATCCACCATGCCGTGTAAATGATAAATTATTGTTGAGATTCCTTACTTTCCTCTGTCCCCACATTGAGCTTTCTAATGAACTGAGCTTAAGGATTACACCAGTTCTATATACCACATTTGTTATTATCGTCAGCATCTGCCTTAAATTTCTGCTTCCTTTCTTATGCCAAGAAGCTAGCGGTTTCTAGCTTTCTCTTCTCTCCAAAGCCCACATACCCTCTCCATATTCCAGATTCAGGCCCCTTTAGCTTTCATTAATCAGGTCTTAAACAAAGGGATTTTCAGTCCAAAGAATAAATAGAATGTAATTTTTCTAATAATAGCCATAGGTCAAAAATTTCCACACCTGGAGAAAAAAAAAAAAGAAAACTCTTCAAGTAGCCATAAAGTTTCCCAAATCTCATAAAGCCCTGACTCTTCTAATTCTTCTTCTTCAATTTTTTGCAACTAAATGCTATAGCATGGGGTCCAAACCAGACCTGTTTTATACTGATCCTCCCTCCCCCAATCCTTGTATATGTAGAATTGAAAAGGGCGTTTCCAGCATGACTTCGTAGAAGGAGCACTCCATCTGAAACAAGAAGTACAGTCTTAGCTCTGCCTCTGTCAGAGCTCTGCAGCCTTGGATAAGTCATCTAATCTCTGTGTATTTTAATGAGGGAGCAAACCAGAGCATTTTAGGGACCAGCAGATGGTGTAATGGTTACATCACTGGACTCTCGCATGACAAAAGTTGGTTCAAGTCACAGACCTGGAGTCTTAAAACTCATGGCCAGTATGTGTGCTTGCAAGCCCAAAATCCTCAGAGGAGAATACAGGAGAAAGGATTGTTGGCGTAGTCATCCCCTTGGGAGGTGACTTCTCACTTTCTGTCTCTCTATATCTCTTTGTCTCTCCAGCAAGTGCACACACCCTATAGCAAAAATCATTTTTTTATAAAAAGACTACATTTAATAGTCTTTTTTTAATTCCAGGGCCTTCTGAATGAGACTAGTGTACCTGAAAACCCAGACATTTGAGATGAATGAGTATTTAAGATGCCATGAGGGACCAGCAGTTAGCATAATGGCTATGTGGCTGGACTCCCATGTAGCCGACCGTGGTTCGAGTTCCAGACCCGGTGGCTTAAACTCATGTCTGGCGCATGTGCGTGCTTGCCCAAGATCCCGAGAGGAGAATGGAGGAGAAGGGATTGCAGCATGGCCATCCCCCCTGGGGGGTGATTTCTTGCTTTCTGTCTCTCTGTCTCTCTCTGTCTTTCAGGCAAGCGAATGCGCCCTATAACAAAAAACTCTCAAATAAAGAAACAAAAAAGAGATTTTTTTTAAAAAGATGCCATGAAAAGTCCTTCTGATTAGGAAACTATACTCAGAAATAGAGTTAGGCCGTGTGCATGCATGCCAGAAGTCCCAGGAGGAGAAGGGATTATAACATGGTCTTTCCCCCTACCTCAGGGGGGTGATTTGTCCCTTTCCCCTTCACTGTCTCTGACAAATAAATCGCCTACAGAAAAAAAAAAAAAAAAAAAAGGAGTTAGCACCAAATTACCTGCTTTCCATTTATTCGAACCTCTTACCAATCACTTCTGTTTGGGACTACTATTTTCATTTTCTCTTTATCTCAGTTTTACAGATAAAAAACTGAGACTGAGAGAGATTAAATGAAGTCACTAAGCAGGGGAGTGGTTGTGTTAGGAGCTGAACTCGGGCAGGGTAACTCTGTTGCTCTTCCTGACATTGCCTTCAACTTTCTACATATAACAGACTTAATTACTGCTCAGGTTTATGGCATTGCAAAACCAAGCGTCTTTGGGGGATTGATAGATTCTTCCCATTCCTAAAAGATTTAGAACACATCTGGGACCAGCAGTTAGCATAATGGCTATGTTGCTGGACTCCCATGTAGTCGACCACAGTTCGAGTCCTGGACCCAGAGGCTTAAACTCACGCCAGGCGCGTGTGCGTGCGTGCCCAAGATCCCGAGAGGAGAAAAGGGGAGAAGGGATTGTGGCATGGCCATCCCCCCTGGAGGGTGATTTCTCTCTTTCTGTCTGTCTCTCTGTGTCTGTCTGGCGAGTGCACGCGCCCTATAGCAAAAACCTCTCCAAAAAAAAAAAGAACACATCTGTATATGTGAGTTGGTTGTAGAATTTCTGAATTAGACCGTCTCCTCACGGAGGCTCTTTGTACCTTAGTTAGGACAAACGTGTAAGCCTGGAGGTCCTCATAGCCAGTTAGTAATTTGGCTTAAGAATCTCTCTTGAGTCACGATCAGCTAAACACACTGAACGTTGTATGTACCGGGACACTATGCATCTCTTGTGTGACCACAGATTTTAAAGTGTTTTCTAAAATATGTTTTTAAGTAACAGGCATTCCATTTATCTCCTAGAGAAGACACCTTCCAGGCCCTCTGTTTTGGTGACTAGAACAAAGCCAAGCCAGATGTTTTATTTCAAAGGAGAAAGGCCCATACAATCAAAAGGCAAAATAACTTTATGAAATATGAACATCAGTTCTGAAAGCTCAATTGCTATAAGCTTTTCTGACATGATCAATTCTGCCACAATATTATTGCTAATCTCACTGAAGAGATTTTATTTTTTTTGAGAGAGAGAGAGATTTTTGCTATAGGGCATGAGACAGAGACAGAAAGGAAGAAATCCCCCCCCCACAATCCCTTCTCCTTCATTCTCCTCTCAGGATTTTGGGCACACATGCACACACACCCAATAAGTCTGGGACTCAAAACTGCAGTAGACTACTTGGGAGTCCAGTAATGTAACCATTAAGCCATCTGCTGGTTCCAAGAAATTCTATTACCGTAAAGTGTTTTAATTCACAGTTTTTATTCATGATCTACTTTATGCTTTAGACTTTCAGAGGTAAGGAGTGGGACAGAAAATTCAGCCTCTGCATTTTTAGAACTAGAACCGGGATTAAAAAGTATGTAAGGCTGGTTACAGTACAGCTACAACATGGAAATCTCATGAAATGCTAGTTCTTCAAGAATAGATGTCTAAAGTCATAACCAATCAGCTCTTAGCTGTACCTTTCCAAACGCCTTGACAGAGACACAGGAGGAAAGATGGAGGAGCTTCAGGAAAGATGGAGACAGCTTCCTCCTGGTACCTTAAACCACCTGCCTGAAAGGTCTAAATCAGGTTCACCTTTCAATGTTGGCTTTATGAACGGTGTCATTTCATTCATATCCCCAAACTATCTCCCATATGCTCCTGAATGTCTGAATCCCCTTAATAGAGAACAAAGACTTTCATTTCACAGTTAGAGATAAAAGGCTTAGAATGAAAATGTCTGGTTGATGTAAGACCAAGACTAAAACTAATCTGTACTACACTGTAGTCAGGCAGTCAGTCAGCAAGAGAGAAGAACTGATTGATCTCTGAGGCATTCACAGTTTTTGGTGCAGGAAAAAAGTTAAAAGAGTAAGCAGGTAGCCCCTGAAGGAATGTGGGGGGAGGATATCAGTTTATAGCTTCTGTCCCGATCCGGTGAGTGGAACTTGTTTTGGGTCTCCCAGCTACATTCTAGCTGCCCCCTAGTCTAAACAACCCAGCTGAATCTGACATGTGACTGGTTCTCATGCTTAAAGACTGTCTACGTGGGGAATTCGAACCCTTCTCCAACAAATAAAAGTCTTGTCCTGGTAGCCTTTAAAAGCAGGTCGAGTTATAGTTACTAGTAAAAAAAACCTGCTGAAGCCTCATGACATTAGCTTATTTAGTATGACATGTATGCGACTAAAAGCATCTGAGGGGTTTTACTTAGGTATCTCCAGACTCCTTTCTATAATCCTGTATCTGTTTAGCAGTTGACCTTGCCCCTTATTTTAATAGGCACGATACCTATCCCAGTCTCTAGTGATTCATCCCAGATTCACGTCAGAATCTCAGATGTGACTAAGCAAAAGTCACCAGCCAATTGTAAATATTACCAAAATAGTAAAAGCAAGCACCGTGCACAACCGGTGCTGTTCTACACCCCATGCACAAGTTAACTTGCTTGAGCCTCACAATAATTCTACAAGGTAGCTACCGTTATTAACCACATCTGTATTTGCAGATGGGCAATTAAGACTCGGAGACATTGAATAATTTGCCTGAGTTCACACAGCTAGGACGTAGCAGGGCCAAGATATAAATTGAGCATTCTCACTCTAGAGCTTTGCTTTTAACCATGATATTTTACCCCAACTGAGCTACTCAGACAACAGAAAACTACTTGGATAGTTTCTTATAAGACACAAGGAGGACACATTCAATCATCCTAATTGAAAACCAATGACAGAACCTGCAGGGAGGAATCGTTTGAGCCATTTTAATAATCACCAAATCACAGATTTGAGCAAAGCCTTTTTCTTAACAAAACTCAAAAACTGGGTTTGATTAAAAAAAGAAATCTTTTCTCCAGATGGAAACAAAAAGGTTATTTTTGACCTTCCTAGTAGTGCCACAGGAAAACTTACCTGTGGTTTGATTCCTGCTTAAAATACTTTTCCCACTAGGTAGAAATATTTTTATAAATCATTGGTTTTATTCTCAATCTGCTCACTTCTCATGCAGGGAAGAGTTAAGATAATATCTACTATAAGCAAGATACAATAATTCAGATGCCATTTTCTAGTTACAAAGTATAGGGACTATCTCTGGAGGACTATATTTTGGTGCACAGGCTGAGCAATAAGAAGTCACTAGGACTCAAAATCGAAATAAGACCATCAGAATCAATTTATCTAGCCCCAAATGACTTAGCAATTCTCATATTTTTTGGATGTTTACTATTGAGCAATCCAATTTTCCTTATAAATTAAAAAAAAAAAAACCTTACTTCCTGTTGAAAAGGATTAATGGTTTACCACCACTTACCAGTTTATGTGGTACTTAAGGTTCCTCAGGTCTAATGAGCAGGTGGGGCTGATAGTACCACTCCAGGCCA